CACTTGGAGACAGAAGTGCTTACAGTTAGAAATCTTAGTGAAAACACTTGGAGACAGAAGTGCTTACAGTTAGAAATCTTAGTGAAAACACTTGGAGACAGAAGTGCTTACAGTTAGAAATCTTAGTGAAAACACTTGGAGACAGAAGTGCTTACAGTTAGAAATCTTAGTGAAAACACTTGGAGACAGAAGTGCTTACAGTTAGAAATCTTAGTGAAAACACTTGGAGACAGGAGTGCTTACAGTTAGAAATCTTAGTGAAAACACTTACAGAACTGCTTACAGTTAGAACTCCTGTAAACAGAGACAATACCAGACTCTGTAACCAAAGCTGTCAGCTTACATGATGCATCTACAAGMAGAGATTAGACTGTATTGTTTGACATGATTTGGAATCTGTGTTGCTCCAACTCCTGCCATATTGATGTGTTTTGCATAATGTTTTTTTATACAGATGAYGGCGTCTATCACTGTTTCTGGTCTACCTGTACGCGAGAGCGCAGRGGATATAGGTGAGTAARTATGTAGATTAWRGTGCCAYYTGRTTGGTCAARAATCATGCTATGTTCCACTTCAAACACAAACTTTTAAGTGGAAATATTTTTCTCTAACATTATAMAAGCAACAACACTAGGCTAGACTGACAAGCAATTTGTGTTTCTRCAGRCCCTTCAACTCCAGTGCCAAACTGTTTCGCCATTGTAGAGAGGTRCATCTGATAGGTCCGCCTAGGATTGTCGCTCCTCAGGACAGATCCAAGTAAGTACAGATGCTATAGTATATGCATAATTACATTATAACAATATTACATTTATTTAACAGAAATTACTTCCCACGACACCAAGCAGCTATTGTRGAYGCTGACCAAAGCACTTCGCCTACACCCCCACGGGGAGCCACACCCGCAGTTGCAGCCCCGTCTATGGGTGTAGCTCCAGGAGGTGCAGCTGGTAGTATGATGGGAATGGGTCAGAATGTCAACCAGGGAATGCAAGGACATTTCCAACAGCCTGGTAATGTCCAGACACCYAGCCAGTTCCTTCCTGGACGCTTGACACAGCAAGGGATACAGCAGGGTAAGATATTGCATTCAATATTGATATGAAGCAGTATTAATAATGCATGTAGTTGTTTTTCAGATATAGTATATACTTCAAAAAACATTGGTTATATACACTGATCCAAATTACAGCAGAAACCGCTGCATCTCGACTTCAATGTTCAAAGGAAATAGTTGGGATTTAGGTTTTTCTGCGACTTGGGGGYGGAGCTTGATACTAATCAGCCAATGATTGAACAAGTTTTCGAARAGCTCCGCCCCTCRGATTGAAAGAAAGAACAAAATCCAGACAAACTTCAAAACAAAGARGTYGCRATGCAACAATTTCCGCTGTAAACACAATCTTGRACAAAATATCTTGGGACTTTTGCATTTGTTTGGGTCATTCATCCATGCTTTTCTAACTTCCTTTGTTCGTCCATATATTTCCTGTCTAAACTTCTTCTCCCCCTTTCAATGCTGTATTTGGATGGTTGATGGTTTGCCATAGGCCGATGACAACACTGTATAAGGGGGAGGGGGTATGGTTTCGAGTATAAAAAGGCAACTGGGCAATACCACCAAAATTAACCCTATAGCCCAAAAAGTTCCAAGGGTTTTGTCRAAGATGGTATATCTGTCCCTCAATATTTGGCCTTATTTGTTGATTGATGTTTTGTTTATTTCAGGTGCAATGTATAATAATAACAGTACTGTGAACAGTCCTTTCAGTCAGCAGCCTTTACAGCAAAACAACACTATGCTACAGAGACAGATGCCTATGGGGGGTGGTGTTGGGATGAATATGAACCAGCAAAGCATTTCACAGCAACCAGGTACAGTGCACAAAATGATTGACTACTGACTTTATTAATCAATTATTAAAGGGCTACTTGGACGAAAATTGCGAAATATTAGAAAAGACTTGGGAATCAAATAGACCTATTCATATGGATGTAATAATCATGAAGCAACAGATTTCAAGAAGATATTGATGCAAATCCTTAATAATTTGGGCAAAAAATGTTGGATTAGATGACGTCATTTACTCAATCCTTTTGTTCTTCCATCTTTTGAATCAAAATTTCTCTGATGTGGGATAATTCCAAGACAAATATTTTCCCGCAATTGTTTTTAATAGATATAAATGAATCATATATTTGAATGTATTGCTTGAAGTTTTGAAATGAGGCCATTTTCATGCAAATAGCACTTTAATAAATAAAAATTGTTATTATTTTATTAATGTTCTCGATATTGATTAATAATTATTCTTATTTGTTGTACTAATATCCAAAATGGAGTAAAAACCTTATTGAGAAATGTATAGAGCAATATGACAGTACAATTATGCAATCCTATAGAAACTCCTTTTGAATTTAAATTTGATATGAATTGTGCAACTTATTTATTGAATAGAACGTGACATTTTTACCTTTGATTATTAATAAATTAATGATTGATTGAATATTATTGATTCCTAGGCCAGTCACCAGGCTACCAACAACAGTTTAATCAAACACAGCAATTCAACTTCCAGCAACAAATAAGCCAAATGGGACAGATTAGCCCTTCAACACCACAGGGACCCCAGATGAACCCAYTRCAACAGATGAGTCAAATGAGCCAGTATCAGAACCAGACCCCCACTCAACATCAACAGCCGACTCAAACCCAGGCTGCTCAAATTCAGCCCCAGGCTCCTGCTCAGCCACCCATACCACCACCTGAAATGGTATAGAACATTTGATTGTAACAACTATATTATAACTCTGAATAGAACATTTGATCATGGCTATTTCATTTAGAACATGTGATCATAGAATATTTGAACATGTGCATTTCAAATGGAACATTTGATCATATGTTTATCTTCTTTTCAGCCTGCRCCAATATTTGTGGCGCCTCCATCTAAACCACAAAGACTGCATCATTCAGAGGCTTATCTGAGGTATTTAAATTTGCTCTCTATTGGTATTATTTTTATCTGTCTATCTGAGTGATTTTCATTGCAAATCATGCCTTCATCTTCAGCTCCTATTTTTCTGAGAAAAAACAGCACCTTCCAACCTTTTTTAAAACAAAATCCTTTCCTTTCCTCCCTAAGATACATTGAAGGCCTGCGTGATGGTAACCCGCACATGAGCAACTGGAGTCAGACAAGRAAACCAGACGTTAACACCATGACTCCACAACAAATAGCCCAGTTACCTGTTCATTGGCTTGGAAATGGTTATGGTGACTATGACAACCCAGTWGATGCGCTATGGGCTCTTAAAGAACACATGTTAAAAGATGCATTGTCTCTTTCTCACCCAGGAGAATACTAAATGTTGTATCTCTATTTAGAAGCATTWATTAGTATTTTTACCAATAAATCACAAATTACTTGAAATATATCGAAAACCCGCCTTTTTATCA